CTGACAGGACGAGCACGTTCAGTAACGAGATTCAAACTCACGACCCACAGATTGCTAGTCAAGCGCCATAACCACCAGGCCATGCCGGATTTGAAGTAATTGAAAGGAAACATTCACAGCTAAACGATGAACCCGTAATTTCTTTATACCTGTGATCGGGACCAGATTAACACATAAGGCACACGAGGCCATTGCCTAGGGCCTCGTGCTTTCATGACTATATATTATTATATTAATGGATTAGACAGAATTTTAAAATTTCGAACCACTGAAAACAAATAACTGAGTAAGAAATGAGCTATTTTAACATTATGATGAAATGTGTGACGTTTGGTTTTGGTTTGTTTGAAGTTCGCGCAAAGCTACACGAGAGCTATCTGCGCTAGCCGTCCCTAATTTAGCACTGAAAGTCTAAAGGGAAGGTAGCTAGTCATCATTATCCACCGCCAACTCTTGGGCTACTCTTTTAGCAACGAATAGTGGGATTGACCGTCACTTTATAACGCCCCCACGGCTGAAAGGGCGAGCATGTTTGATGTGACGGGGATGCGAACCCGCGAGAGATTGCGAGTCGAAGTGCCTTAACCACCTGGCCATGCCGGGCAATAATTCATTTGTCCAGACATTATTTTACAGATAGTAAATGCATAAGACTTCAGTGCTTACCAACAAATAGTACTAATATTTATTAATTTATAATTACTGTTGGTATAAAGCAGTCATTCTACAAACAAAGTAAAACGTATTTTTATTTTATTGTCTAAGAACAAGGTTATACTATAAAACTGTGTTCGATACGACAGATAATCTCCTTTAACGATTTATTAGGTTAATTTCCAGCAAGTGCTATATTAGTTAGAAACCATGCAAAATACTTTATATCTAAATCAACCATTAAATTATCGATTTGTTTTCATACCGTTCACAAAGCTACACAATGAACTATCTGTGCTATGCCCACAACGGGTATCGAAACCCGGTTTCTAGCGTTGTAAGTCCGCAGACATACCGCTGTGCCACTGGGAGGCAGCACGCTCTGATCAGACGTTATTATTGATTGAAATAAAGGTTTAAAAATACATATTTTATACATACAAAATTAGTAAAGTCGCTAAAACATTTCTGTTTTATTATACGTTATAAAAAGCCTTGGCCAAGATGTTTGTATATTTTGTAAAAAATAAGATCTATATTATTAAAATGTAATACAAGTACATTTAGTGCTTTAAAACTGAGAAAGGCATGTTATATGAAACATCTACATATGTAAGTTGTATAAATGAAACATGTTCTAAGGAAATCATAAACGATTTATTAGAATGGCAAACAATTTTATCAGACACCGGTAGAAAGATGTGTAATTCAGTATTTCACCTATTGCAACAAAACCTTACCAAAACATATATAGTGAGAAAATATAGCATCATATTATTATAAATTACATATGTAACCTTATATCAGTTCATATTAAACATTCAGTGCTTGGTTGGTCCTCCTCGTACTCTTATAACCCCCGCAAGGTGACGTGGCATTCTGTCGATGAGTTATTTATGTAATTCACCGTGATTTCATCCCAACTTGTCACTAGAAGAAGTTGCAACTCAGCTACAGTAGCTGATTTAGGGTCGTGGTTAGCAATTTTTCCGTCTCAGCTCTACCCAACAGTTCTTAATGGAATTACAATCTGGAGACTTTACTGGCCATGGCAATCTTGTAACGTCCTCCTGGTCGCAATAATCCTGTACAATACGTGCACTGTAGGCAGTAGCATTGTCATCCTGGAACACAAAGTTATTGCTAAACCTTGCCCTAGCATATGACAGAAATATCGTCTTCATGTAAAGCCTGCAGGAGGAGCCATTGATGTTTCCCTTGAGGATATGAAGAGCAATTTTTCCACCATAATGAATAGCTGTCCAAACATGTACTGCACCATCTCTTGTGGGAAAGACAGTCTTCCTTCATTTGTTCTCCTAGCAAATGATGAACACAAATCCTATCATCCGCTTTAACAAGCCAGAAACAGAACTATATGAAAAGATGACATGTTGCCAGTGTCCTAACTGTAAGTTGGTATGCTGTCTTGCCCAAGTAACACAGTGATGGCAGTGAATTATGGTTAGTATCGGTTTGAAAGAGCTCTTCTAAAAGAACCTTGTTTGGCAAGTCTCCTATTTACTTTTCTTCTGGATACCCTGGAATGAATGTTTTTATGCCATTCCTGTCATGAGGTGTTGCAAGACATTCCTGTTATGGTGTTGCAAGATTTAATTTGATCTGACATGTAAACCTGCTTTAAACACGGTCATCTTGGGCAGTTGTTGTTTGGTGTCAATCAGTAAACTTTCCTGGAACAACGTTTCCTTTAGTCTGATGACGCTTCAGGATTCTGGATACACTATATTCGGAGTACCCTACTATTCTGGCAATTTCCATTTGCTTCATACCATTACTGGACAGTCAAACAATTTGTTGCCCTATAACTTCTGGCACATATTGAGGCATGACTCTACATCAGGTACAGAGAAGTTGTCTGAACAAAGTGTTGATCTGTTTCGAAAAAGATTATACCAAAAGCACATTCTTTTATACAAAACAGGTGTGTGTGTGTGTGTTTTGACGAACAGCTTATACAGACCAGAATAACAACCTGTCCATGTTTGTACAATCATACACTACCCTTTCTGTTGCTACTCAATAACTACTCGATTCATGTAGACAATAATATCAATAAAAACCAAGCTAA